GACCTCTGATATGGTGAATAGTGGGGATTTTCCTTGAGAGACCAATATAGTGTTGTGGTTTAAGACACTAGTTCTGATTCTATGCAAGCTTCCTTTCTGCCCAGTTCTCCCACTTGTACTCGCATCATCTTGACACAATTAGTATCTTCACCTGTAAAGTGGGCTTGTAATCATTAATAATTCCCATACCCAACTCATAGGGTTGTATCTGCAAACTGTGGTGTGCAAGGAAAATAGAAAAATCTCCTGTCATGCTTGTTACTTGTCATTACAATTGCTGATGCCACCATGCGATACTTTGAAGGAAAGGCTTTCTGCTCTATTGCACACCTGAGAGCGGAGACCACAAAACTCACATGCAACTTCTGGCCAGCCTGAGAACCTTTCTTTCTCTGCCACACTCTTCTTAGCTCCACCCTCCCGAGGCCATGAGAACATGCACCCCTCATCAGAATGCTGGCTATTCCTTCTTGGGTTCCCCATCCAGGAACCATGAATACACTTCATCTTACTTTGCATCCTTCCAATTCAGTTCCATCTCTGTCCCCAGGTCAGTTGGGCCTGCTTCTTTGTTTTGGGAATGCCTCAGGACGAGTCACAGAGAATGTGACTGTGTTGTTTCTGCATGGCACTGGAAATTTTCTGAGACCTGGCCCCAGCTTCTTTCTATAAACTCATGTCCCTCTGTTCAACATTTCATGGATCTCATTCACACCAGGTTCCGGTTCCGGCCTTGCCACTGAAGTCTGTCTCTCCTTATGTCTCAAATTCCCCATTTGTAAAAGATGACCAGTCAACTCACTGTACCTACTTTAGGGATTTGTTGAGAGACTAAAATGAGAGAATAGATATAAAACCTCTAGCTCTCTTTGCCACACAGTGTTGCTGCACTCTGTAAAACAATGTTTTCTATCATACTTAGTATAATTAATCTATCACCTGGCATTTGGTAGTGTGGTAGCTCAGTGTTTTCAGATTGGACTGTAGGACAATATGGTGTTTTGGGTGTATTACACAAGGTTGTCCAGAGAAACTATACCAATAGGGTATGTATATAACTTTTCATTTATGTATGTCTATTTGTGTCTGTAAAGACATTGGTTGATTTATGGAGTTGGCGTAGGAGACCATGACTGCTGACAAATTTTAAATCTGGAGGGCAAGTCACACAGCTAGACATCCATATGTCATTTGATATTCTGAGCTTGAGTTCAAAATCTACAGGCAGGCCAAGTTCCTATGTTGCAGTCTTCAGGCTGAATTGCTTCGGTGGTCTTGAGGCTCATTGGATGGCACCAAATCACATGGAGGAGGGCAGTCTAGTGATTAAGTCTAGTGATTTTATAGGTTCACTTTATAGTCACTTAAGTCTAGTGATTTTATAGGTTCATCATACACACAGGCATCATCACAGCAACACCTACACTAGTGTGTGGCCAACCAGGCACCATACCCGAGCAAAACTTGACACATAAAATTAACTATCACCATGCAGAAGAAATAGACAGGGACATCATTTCCCAAACTGAAGCTCAGACTCGTAACCTATCTGAGTTAATTCATGTCTAGTAGTCTTTTTCCTCTCTTCAGAAGTTGCATGAACAGGCCGGGGATTTAGCTCAGTGGTTTCGCTGCCTGCTGCGCAAGTGCAAGGACCCAAGTTCGATCCCCGGTACCCAAAAAAAAAAAAAAAGAAGTTGCACGAGATGATGAAGGAAATTTGAGTCTGTGGTATTTTAAGCAGAGGTTTGATACAAGATCTTGATCCTTCTGGAGTGAGCAAATATTGAAAGAATGAAACAGAGTAAGATGAGGAAGGAAGGAAAGTCACACTGTCCCAGCTGCTCCCTTCCCCACAAATAAGAGACTTCTCTAGGCCTCATTGTCTATAATGCCTCTGGAGAGGCTCGTGAATAACATCATATGTTGGTTAGAGACAGAGCAGGAGAATGTTTCACAGAAATGATGGGGAGGGCAAAGAGTGATTAAAACATGGGTCAGTTATGAGTTGTTATTTCAAAGGCTTGTATTTCTTCATAAAAAGTGTTTATGAAAATTTTCTTCCTGCAAGAATTGGCTTTCTAAATGAAAAAGTATGATCCTGAGATGGTCCCTGACATATGAAAATTAGTTGGGAGGGAATTGGATTAAAGTCATTTTCTAAATGTTTCACAATAAGTATTCATGTGGGATGGTAATGGCCCACAAAATAAATGGAATAACTTGTTGGAAACAGAGCTTTCAACTACTGACATATTAAGAAACTCTCCTTTTCGCCGCCTGCTGCACATGCACAAGGACCCGAGTTCAATCCCCAGTACCAAAACAAAAACTCTCCTTCTAGGGTGTTTGCTTGTGTTTGTATATGCACATAGCCTGGTCATGTGATACAAAATATCTCTAATATTTTGTGCTTCCTGTCCTGATAATTTGGTTAAGAATGACTTCGAAGTACCCATGTGTTCTGAAGCAGCAAGTATATTCTTGGCTTCCAAGTTTCCCAAAAGGACAGAGCCTGAGCTCCTGCTCTAAAGTGTTGATATAGCATTTAATATTAAATTTTTTTTTCATCCAAAGTTTGGCACAGTAGAGCACACCTGTAATCCCTGCTCCTTGAAGATCCAGAGGGGCCATGCTAAGACAAGAGATTTGTAAGGTACTCCCACTCTGTCTCAAAAGTACAAGGCCAGCCTGAGCAACAGGGCCAGACCTCATCTTCAAAAACATGTAGATTCATTCAAGACATGTTTATTGATAGAATAGAGAGATGCACTTACTGTAAAAATCTACTTGTGTGGGTATTTTCATTTAGTAAGATTGACTTTTCTCCTTTTGGGATACAGTTCTATGAGTTTTAGCATAAGTGTAGATTCTTAGTGCCACCACCACAATGAGGATAGGGAATTCGTTCATCACCCCCAAAATATTTACTGCATCTACCCGCTTTGCAGCTGTATCTCCCTATACCTAATTTGTGATAAATAATGATCTCTTACCCATTCGTATTTTGTCCTTTGGGAAATGTCATAAATGAAACCAGACAGCTTGTAGCCTTCTGAATGGGCTTCCTTTATTTAACATAATGGAAAATCTTGGATGAATCCCAGATCAATACTCTACTGTTTTTCAGTGGTGAGCATTTTCCATTAAGTGGATAGCACAGTTTCTTATCCAATCATTTATTGAAAGATATTTGTGTTGTTTTTCAGCTCTGGGTAACTATGAATGGAGCTGCTCCAGACATTCATGAACTGGCTTGTGTGTGTGTGTGTGTGTGTATGTGTGTGTGTGTATGTGTGTGTGTGTGTTATCCTAAGTTTTTGTTTCTATTGGGTAGATACACAGAGAGTGAGATTTCTGGGTCCTAAGGTAAATGTCTGCTTAATTTATAAGAAACCATCAGTCTTTTTTCCAAGTGGCTGTACCATTTTTCTTTCTCACCTACAGATATGACAAATACAGCTTCTTACTTGATATTGTCTCCAATACTTGATATTGTCAGTATGTTTTGTATTACCTGTTCTAGTATGTATGACAAGGTTCATCATCACAGTTTTAATTTTCATGTTCTTTATAGTTAATGTTGACTATTTTAAGGGCTCATATTCAAGTCTTTCCTCCCATTTTCTAATTAAGTTTTGTAGTACTCTATATTCTGGATATAAGACCTTTGTGAGATCTATGGTGCTTATGCGTAGCCCCACCATCCATTGTCTCTCTCTCTCTCTCTCTCTCTCTCGCTCTCTCTCTCGCTCGCTCGCTCGCTCGCTCGCAAATTTCTCTCTCTCTCTCCCTCTCCCAATCTCCCCCGCCATTTCTGATTTTTCAATGCTGGAGGTCAAACACCAAGCCTTAAGCGCGCTAAGCAAGTGCTCTACCACGAAACTACATACCTAGCCCCCAAGTTTTGAATTTTGAGGTCCACCTTATCAATTTTCTTTCTTTCATGCATTATGCTTTTGCTTCAAGACTTGCTCATGCCTAGTCACAGATATTCTTCTATAGTATCTTCTGAGGGTAGTATCATTTTACCTTTGCCATTTAGGTCTTTGGTATACTTTTACTTAATTTTGTATATAAATCATGATGTTGGGGTTTGTACTGTTGCATATGGATATACAACATTTGTTGGAAAATTCTCCCTTCTCTTGAATTCCCGTTTATATCCCTGTCAAAACTCATTTGAAGCCGGGCATGGTGGAGCAATCTCAGAACTTGGGAGGCTGAGGCAGGAGGATCACTGCAAGTTTGAGGTCACCATGGGCTACATAGTGAGTTAGAGGCCAGCCTGAGCTACATAGTGAATTTGAGGACAGCCTGGAATAGGTAGTGAGTTCAAGGCCAGCTTCAACTATACAGCAAGACCTGGTATCAAAGAGAACTCATTTGAGGGCCAGGGATTTAGCTCAGTGCACCATGCCTGCCTCAGAAGTGCAAGGTCCTGAGTTTGATCCCCAGTACCAAAAAAAAAGAAAAAAGAAAGAAAGAAAACTCATTTGACCATATTTGTATGGATCTATTCATGGACTCTACCATTTATGGACTTATCAATCTACATGTCTACTCCTTTCCAAGAGAGCAGCACTCTCGATTACTGCAACTTTATGAGAAGTCTTAACATCAAATTATGTGATTTCTCCAAAACATTCATATTTCAGAAATTTGAAATTTCCACATGAATTGTTGAATCAGCCTGCATATATATGAATTTCCTTCCAGAATTTTGATTGGCATTTCATTAATTCTACATATCAACTTGGGAATAATTGACTTTTTTCCCCATATTGAGTTTTTTGATCCATGAACACAGCATTTCTCTCTATTTAATTGTGCCTTCTTTGATTTCTTTCTTGAGCATTTTATAGTGTTCAGCATACAGATCCCGTATATATTTTTAGTTATATACATAACTATTTTAGTTATATACATAACTGAGTTTAGAGCTATTATAAGTATTATTTTTAAACTTAGGTTTGTCATACACATATATGTGTTGACCTTGTCTCTTATATCATTACTAAACTCCGTCACTGGTTCTAAGAGTTTTGGAGGAGATGCAAGGTGTGATCAACATATACAGTGAATGTTTAAATGTTTAAAAATTTTATTACACTAAAACACTCATGGCCATTAACCTCCCTCAGAATACTCTCCCTCACTCCAAACATACTTCTCCTGTTATTCTTGCTATTTTCTGAAGGAGTTCCTCTTTTATGAGTCTTTTGCAAGCTGTGATCAAAACTACAGTGAATATTGATGTATTTCATCCAATGAAAAGGCAAGGCTCATAAAAACATTACACTATGTCCTCATTCATGTTACTTACGGGATCTGGCACCATGTGACTTCTGGCTCTTCTGCAAAGTCAAGATGACCATGAAAGGTAAACATTTTGACTCAATTCAAAACATAGAGGCAACTAAAGATGTGACAGAGGACTTCCTGAACTGCTTGAGAAAGTGTCAAGAATGATAGGATAAGTGTGTTAGAAGCAAAGGGGAGTATTTTGAGTGTGGATTAATGACTGTAATTTCTTTTTAATTTAAACATTAACTGTATTTTTTCTTTTTTCTTTTTTTTGTTTATGGAGAAAGGGTCTCACTATGTAGAGTTCAGGCTGGCCTTGAACCCACAACAATCCTGCTGCCTCAGCCTCCTGAGTGCTGGGATTACAAGCATGTACCACCACACCCAGTTCATGGTATATTTCAGTCATACCTCATACATTAGATATTCCAGGTACACAGTCATGAGGTCTATGAGAAGAGGAGCATTTTCTTCCTCCTTTCTTATTTGTATACTGGTTACTCTTCTGGCATTACCCACCACTTCGGACTTCCAGCATGAAGTTCAATAGCTGTGGTGAGAGTGGCCATCCCTATATTCTCAACTTTATTAAGAAAGGGTTCAATCATTCACCATTAAATGGGATACTAGTTGTAGGGGTTTTTATATGTACCATTTAACAGATTCAGGATATGGTATTTTATTCTTACTGTTTTGTAATTTTTAATGTCACCAGTGGATTTTGCAAATTGTCAAATGATTTTTCTCATACTTTGATATGAACTTGTCAGTTTTTTTCTTCATCTGAACTCAATGTCTGGATTGCATTGACTGGTTTTTACTTAGTAAAAGAACAACCTCTGCAGTCCTGGTATAAAACCCACTTGATCGTGATTTATGATGATATTACTAAATTAAAACTTATTTTTCTGTTGAAGAGTTTTGTCCATATGCTAAAGAAATATCAGTCTGTAGTTTGTTTGGTATTGGTGCAGTGCTAGCCTCATAAAATAATTTGGAAGAGCTCCCTCTGTTGTTTTCTGAAAGAAATTATTTAGAATTGATATAATGTCTTCATTTAATGTTTGGTAGATTTTGAAAAAAAAACTTCTCTGGGCCTAGACATCATTTTGTAATGGTTTTTAATGACCAATTCAATTTCGGTAAAAGATGTAGGACTGCACACAATTTGATCTCTCGTAAATTCTGGTAGCTTATAATTTTCTAGTAATGAGTCCATTTTGTGTAAGCTATAGAATGTATTTATGTGGAGCTGATTGAAGTATGAGCATGTTGTCCCTTTTCTGTTTTCTGGGACTATAGTGAAATCTCTTCTCTCATTACTGCGCTTGGTAAACTGTTTCCTTCCTCTCTTTTTTCCTAGTACAAGTTTATAAGAGGTAGTGTTTGGTACATTGAGTGTCTCCATCTTTTTCTTTTTGTTTCAGATCTCTTGATTTTGTCTTCTATTTTTAGTAAAAGAAATTCCTGTTTACGCATATTAAGAATTTTTACCAGATGTAAAGCCAGAGGTCCCAAAGGCAAAAATTCCAAAGGATGTGTCACCATGGTACAAATACTTCCAATTTAATAAAAGTCTACTTTATGAAAGTATGTAAATGCTTATGACAAGAGCATGTGTTAGTCACACATTGCCCATTCTTACAGTTATTCTTGAGAGTAGATTAGAAAGAGTCAGCAAGGGCTGGGTGTGGTGGCATATGCTTGTAATACCAGCACTCAGGAAGCTAAGGCAGGATGATTATGAGTTAAGAGTCCACTCTGGACAATTTAGTGGGACTCTGTCTCAAAAATTTAAAAATGAATAAAAAGAGCTGGGGTATAAATCACTGGTTAGACCACGCTAGGTTTGCTACCTACTATAGGAAAAAAGAAAAAGATTTAATACTGTTCTTGACATTTCAACTTTGTACATTACAATGATTGGTGTCATTTCTACAACCTTTGTGATGTACCATCGACATTTTAAGCTCTGGACCTATATTATCTCATGTAATCCTCCTAGCAAGCACAGGAGGTGGGTCACATGATCAACCTCATTTTATATGTAGGAAGTAGAAGGAGAGAAAGTTTAAGTGAGATGAATAGTCATGAGTTTTCTTTCTTCTCTTTTCACCCTTCATTGCAGTCTGGTATCTGCTGGCCGTGCACTTTCCTACCTCCAGTCTAGTTATTTGAAAACCTTCAGCTTCACCTGATCTAGACTCCAGTGCCTGGCAGAGCTTCTAGCTCAGACAAGACCTCCATGGATCCACTCCAGAAATGGAATCCAGGGTTGATTTCTGGATCTTCCCAGATGCCCACCACAGAGACCTCCCAGGAAGGCGCAGCAGCCTCTCAGCCTTCCTCCTCAGAACAGCTAATGATGGGCCTCAGTGACCTGAGCATCAGTCCTGGCTCCAACCCCGCTGTGCCTCTGCAAGAGGGACTGTTCCAGCAGCAGCACAGGGAGAAGACTCTGCTGGAGCAGCACTGGGAAAGGCTGGGGTTCCCTCAGAAGAAGAAAGCATTCCTGGGGCACTTCAGACGCAGGCACCGTGATCACATGGCACCTTACCCAGTCGAAAGGGAAACCAGGATCTCTTTCCCAGGTGATAGAGCTCAGAATCAATTCAGATGCCAATGTCGATACTGCCAGGGCCACATGCCAAATATTTCTGGGGTCACTGGGGAGAGGAATGGGAACCCCAGTCCTTCCTCCTGGGAAACCCTCGTGCAGGGTCTCAGTGGCTTGACCCTCAGCCTGGGCACCAACCGGCCTGGCATTCAGCCAGGTGGGGTGCAGCAGCAGCAGCAGCAGCAACAGCAGCAGCAGCAACAACAGCAGCAGCAGGAGCCAGAGGAAAAGCTCCAACTGGAGAGGCAGCAGGAAAGCAAGAACATGTTCCAGAGGCTGTTCAAGCAGTGGTTGGAAGAGAACTGAGATGCCCATCTTCATAGAACAAAGACCCTTAGGGATTCAGACAGTACTGTGTTGCCAGCTCTTGGGAGGTGGGCTTCTTTTGGGGACCAAACAGTCACTATCGGAGGAGGAATCCCAAGACCTGTGTTATGACCAAGAAGGTCCTCATCTTTCCTGCCTGTCATTTGTGGAGCACTGAGAGGCGTTCAGGGACCGAGGAGACTGCACACCAGTGTTCCCCACCTCCTCTCATCTGGTTCCCATGCCACGTGTTGTCAATTTTCCAGCCTACATCTCCATCTTTGCTCCTTAACTTGTTGTCAGGGAGATATCTTTATAAGATGTCTGTGTAGCGTGAATGCCTTGTTGATGTCCATGTGATTTTGTACCATTTTACTGACTGCCACCCAGGAACAGAGCTAGGTCTGTTTGAAATGGGGGCACTTGACACTGAGATCTAGGTGCAAACATCTGCTGCCAAACAAAGTGTGGGAAAGGGATGTGGAATTGGAACTTGATGGTTCACCATTGTACTGTCAGTGTAAACTATTATGACTATGATAAGCTGACTGTATGTGTTTCCCTGCCGCTTAGCAATTGAGTAGTTAACCCCCCTGCAAGACTTTCACCTGGGTACCTCATCGCTAACACCAAATAAACATATGTGTGAAAGGAAAGTAACATTAGAATGCAGGTTTGTTATCGATAGTGTTTTGTTTCTTTTTGGATCTCAGATCACTACCTTGAAATCCCCAACTAGCAGGCCGGAGTATATCAAGAGGAGCTCTGCACCATGGAGATTTGGAAGAAGGGAAGGGGGCAGGCCCAGAACACAATCCAGCCACTCTTTGAGTGGGACCAGCATTCATACCAGCCAGGCAGTGAGGTTGGAAGAAAGTCCTCTGGTACATAGGGGTGGAAGCAGAGGCCACTGCCCCCAGGAGGTGCCCCTGAATGTTGGCACTGGTGCCCTGAATGAGATTTTCAAGAGCCTTTCCTTGCTGCCTGGTACACTGGGTCGGTGACTGTGAACAGCAGTTTTGCACCTGCTTCCTGAGAACCAGAATAGCATTGAGTTATTTCAAAATCCTACTGGAATTTAGACATGTGTCTTTTAATTTCAAGAAGCCTGAATGATTAAATTTACCTTCTTTTCCCCTACAGAATCCTGTGATGTGCACCCACCCAGCCAGGGACCTGAGATTTCTTCTGAGCCAAAACCAATCTGCATTGTGTCAGTCTCTGTTTAGGGAGGCCCCAGGACTGCATTGGTGTACAAATTTGTGTCTCCTGCTGGTAGAAGTGACGTGAGAGCAGGTAAGTTTCTTAGGTTGGAACTTGGGGTCTCGTCAGAGAGCTTGAGAGTTAAGATGACTCTGCCAGGATCGTCTCCTAGGTTCTCCCAGGGCAGCTTTTCTTTCTTGATACTCAGAGGCCTAAAATCAGGACAGTGATTTGGAAGGGTGTAGAAGGATAGCATAGCAGTGCACTTTTGTGGACGTTTACTCAGTGTCTCTCTTCTGTGACTCTTCTGTGTATTCATGATAGTTCACTCATTTCATCCTGTCTTAAAGACCCATCATTTAGCAACAATGCCAGTTCCACATTAGGGGCCATGCCAAGGTCACACAAGTATCAAGAGGCCAAACTGGCACATGAGCTTAGGCAGGCTGCATTCTAGCTGGTACAACTAACCCATTCTTCTCTGTGAGAGCTGGGGTGACATGAGAACCCCAGTGGACATTTCATTGTTTTAAAGAACCAAGTCTTGCTGAGATGTGATGTTGAATCCTCACCACTATCAGGTGAAGTAGAGGTAAGTACTCCCACTTTGCTGCAAGTTCACAGAGGTTGTGAAGTACTGGCCAAAGACACAACCTTTTGCCTGACCCTCCATACACCAAACCACACACTGTACACCCTCTAGGCCAATCGGTTGGCCACAAAGTTTTGTAGTGTCAATGACAGTCAAGCATTGAACCAATCACCGATGTTTTCTCACTTGACTTCTTCCCAGTCTATGCTATGCTGACTTCTGCGGTAGGGCAATGAAGAGGAATTGCAGAGCTGGTCCTGGTCCTCCAGTATTGAGCATTACATTAATAAGACACTGCTCCATTTTCTCCTGCTATGTCAGAATACCATGCACTAGGTAGTTTATATACAAAACAAGTTTACTTCTACAATTCTGGAGACAAGGCCAAAATGAAGGTGCTGGCATCTGATATCTTTAGAGAGCCTTCTTACTGAGTCCTTACATGGTAGAAGATCCAATGTCCTGGGGAGGGGATGAGTATTACATTCTCACATGTCAGCGGAGCCAAACTCACTCCTACAAATCCTATTCTTAGCTCTATTTATACATTCATGAGGATCATGCCCTCCTGACCTAAATATATCCCATTAAGCCTGACCTAACACTGTAACCTTGGGGATCGGTATTTATTGTGACTCCTGGAGGTGACTTAAAACATTCAAGCCTTGGCATACACTGTGGATGTATTTATGACAAAGCAGTTGATCCCCTGTGTGGCATCAATTGCCAGACAATAGAGAGGGGAGAAGGATCCCCATTGGGTAAAGTAGACATAAAGGGTTTGCTGAAGTATTGCTGCAGAGTGAATCAAGGCCTACCACAGATTGTGTGGGTAATGCCAGAGGACATAAGTGAAGGAGGTGGCCACACCGTCTCTCCCCCTTCAAGTCTTAATCTGCATCCCCGTGTCTGGGATAAAGGAGAGGATCTGGGGGTGACATCTGATACATTATCAAGCTACTGACTAGGAGTTAGAATCTGGGGATGTCTGATAATATACATGTCCAATTCTAGACCAGGCACTGAATTAAAAGCACCAGCAGACAAAATATTGGCGCAGCGGAATGTACTAGTAGAAAATCTGGACAGATTTAAAACCTGAAAGGAAATGGAAAGAGGAAATGTAAAACCTTCCCTCAATTGAGAGGTAAGGCCCAGCTATCTTCATGGGTGAATTTTATCTGACATTTCAAGGAAAAATAATACCAGTCCTTCTCAAACTAATCCAGAATATGGAAGGGAGGAACATTTCTCAATTCATTCTATGAAAACAGCATTATTCTGTTAATAAACACAGACAAGGTAGCACAAGTATATTACAAACTAACATGAATCACAAATATCTATACAACAATACTTCAGAAAATATTGACAAAATCTAGCAACATAGTTTCTGCTAGAGATATATGGTGGTTAACATTCAAAATCAATTAAGATAATACACCCTGTTACTAGAATAAGGAACATAAATCATATGATCAGCTCAACAGAGAAAAAGCATTTGAGAAAAATCTAAGACCCATTCATAATGAAAACACTTAACAAACGGGAAGAAACAAGGAAAACCCTCAGCCTATAAAAAGTATCTATAACTAACCTATAGCTGTCATATGCTGAATAGCAGTGAAAGAATAAATCTCCCAAGAGAACAAGGCAGGGATGTCTGCCCCCACTGTGGACAAAAAGTAAATGAAAATGCATATAAAATTAAATGGGGAAATACATATCCATTCACAGATAAGGATTTCACTCCTCAAAATTCAAGTTGAAACTTAATCCTCAATTTGAGATCAGAAGACATGGGAGCAGAAACTTTTAAGAAGAGATTAGTGCTCTGAGTCCTTAATGGATTAGTTCATTCATTCCATTAATAGAATTAACTAGTCAGTAGGTTACTCTGGATAGTGGGTCACTTATGAAAACTGGTTTAGCCAGGGCTCTATTACATTCCTTATCTCCCTGCCACATGATGCCCTGCTTTGTCTGGAGACTACCAGCAAGAAGACCATCACCAGATGCCAAAATAAACCACTTTGCTGTATACCTTACCGTTTTGGGGTATTGTGTTTGGAGCAACAGAAAACAGATTAAGACAACAGGATATTAAGATACTCATGGCTAATGTTTCATGATGACCCCAAAGTGAAAACAATTTAATGTCTACCTACTGGTGATGTAATAAAGCAAAGATATATTTATACAGTAGAACATGACTAAACATTGTGGAGGAACAAAGTGTTCACATATGCTGCAATGTGTTTGAACCTCAAAAAAAGACTTTGCCAAATATGAAAAACCAGACACAAAAGACCATTTATTGCATGTGTGGGTTTATAGGAAATATCCAGAAAGGGCAATTCCACACAGTATAGAGATTAAGAGCTGCTTGGGCCTGGCAGTAGTCATGACTACGACCTGGGCTCCAACACGCAGGCCCAGAACCTGCCAATCCTGAGCCAACCTCAGCAGGGTCCTTCCCCTGATTCACTGACATCCAGCTGCTGTTGCTCTGGTTCCTGGTGCAGGACTAGAAGGCTTCCTTACCCAGCCAGGACCATTCTCTGGGCCTACTGGGACCGTTTCTAGTAGTCTGAGATCCACTCCTTCATTAGGATTATATCCCACAGCCTTTCCCTCCAGAGCTCTGGCAAAAAAAAGGGGGGGGGGGCTCAGTTTCTGTGACCACTAGAGAGCACTATTGCACCTCCATGCAACCCTCTGTGCCCATCATTGCAACCTTCCTGTTACAGAAGAAAAAAAAAAAGAAACATGGAGCTTTTTTCCACTGAAGAAGCCTTTGTCCTCCATTTCACAGTCTAGGGCAACCTGGGAGAAGAAATTCTGAAAGTGCTTTTGGGAGATTCCTGGCTAAAACTCAGGCTTCAACATACCTTGTGCTTTTCTGAGTAGCATTTCTCCTGTAGCTGCCTAGGCAACCTAGCAACTTCTATTTCTACTTCTCTGAAAGATTGGTCTCTCAATCTCCCTTTGCTCCACTTGTCCTGCTCCTGAGCTTTATGAGCTTTTATTCCCATGTTGCATCACTACACATGTAATTGAAACGAAAATTTCTCAAGCAATGAACTATAACAAAATCATTCGTACTTATAAACCAAATCTCCCAGCAGTAACCATTACTTGCATTTTGTGACAATTTCCTTAGATGAGTTTTCATCTATAAAAATACATTGTAGAAGCCAAAGTATAAATAAAGAAAATGAAAGATAGATAGTAAGAAACAGAGATTGTACTCAAATGGGAAGGGGGACTACAGATGGAAGAGGGTGAGAGGAGAGGGAAAGGGGAACTGAAAAGCACTAATGCATTATGAACTCATACCAACTGCCCAACGTAATTGTAATCATTGCTGCAAGAATGTACTAAAAAGCTAACATTTTTCACAACTGCATTGCATATTGCTATATATGATGGCGTCATTTCTTTTACATGTTTTTGAAAACTCACGTTTGTTGAATTATGACACAGAATCACACCAACGTGTTGACAACACAGAATCTAGTATGAATTCCCCTTTCCGAACAACCATTAAAAAACAGCTGAAAATTTTACCGAAAACGAGACAAAAATTATTTACCGTTAGACATGGAAAGGAGACAAGACCCCAGAACCTTTATCTAAATTAAAACAGCATCAATTTTCTTCCAATGGAGAGGAGCCATCTTTGATTTGCTTTGTGTTTATACAGCATTCTTTGCTCAGGACACAAACGAAACATTACCCATGACTGTGTTCTCAATACAGACATTGGTTGAATACATGAACAAGGGCCTGATTTCTTCTAGATAATTTTCTTTGTAGACATAGTGTGAAACATAGATTTCTAAAGATACTCTTTGAACACTTA